TTTTTTTTTAATTGCTAGAATAACCTTACTATTTTGTTATTGTTGAAATAATCTATTCTAGATTTTTTTTTTTCATAATACCAAAATTGTCCTTTACAGACTCTGTCGAGGTATTGGCAGATTCTGTCGAAACATTGGCAGACTCTGCCGAAACATTGACAGACTCTACCGATGGATTGGCAGACTCTACCGATGGATTGGCAGACTCTGCCAATATCTAAAAATACGCAGACTCTGCCAAAACATTGGCAGACTCTGCCGAAACATTGGCAGATTCCGCCGAGGTATTGGCAGACTCTGCTGAATCATTGGCAGACTCTGCGGAAACATTGGTAGACTCTACCGATGTATTGGCAAACTCTGTCAATATCTAGAAATACGCAGACTCTACCAAAATATTGGCAGACTCTACCGAACATTGGTAGACTCTGCCAATGTTCGGCAGAGTCTGTCAATGTTTCGGCAGAGTCTGCTAATACCTCGGCAGAGTCTGCCAAGGACAATTTTGGTATTATGAAAGAAAAAAAATACAGAATAGATTATTTCAGCAATAAAAAAAAATGGTAAGGTTATTCTAGCTATTTTTTTAAAAAAGTAGGTTATTCTAGGTAAATTTTTTTAAATAAAAAGTAGAATAAGTTCTTCTCTAAAAGTTTGATGCACGAAAGCAATTAGGACAACTCATCCCTTATATTATGTTTTCTCGATTTCTTTTCATAGTGTGCATATATGATGCTTACAAACTTTAGACTTTAGTAGATTCGCTAATAGCATTGTATGTAAACATGATCAGATCACATCTTTTTAATATATAGTAGACTATAGTTAAAAAGGTTAAAATGACGTTGTATTAGACCTAAAACTGCAAACTAGAATCTGATATCGAACAAGAACTACAACTCGAAATGCGAAAGAATATCTACAATCGTATATGTCAAGATCCAAATAAAGAAGCACAAGATCAAGCGTGAAAATCAGAATTTGAAATGAAGATATTGAGTTTGTATCCAAAGTTTAGATTACAAGGAAATCATATCCAAATTGTTCGCTTTAATCGATATTTCTGTGACAAAATCAGAAGAACAAGAGTATTCAAACAAACTCAGTATATAAATTATCAGGAAAATTGAGCTAAAAACTACATATCAAAGAAGAAGTAAGCTAAAAACAAACAGACCAAACCAAAGTACTTTTTTTGTTCCTCGACATTAGAAATGGCCCCCCTAAAGATCCTTCAGGTTATTAAAAATGAAGCTGATACATGCATCAAATATTTTCGGGGTCTTTTCATTGATAAGAGTTGTCTGGCTAAAACCAAAACGACATTACTTTAGTATGATTGTACGGTACCACTCATTAAAAAAAAAACCATTTTCTTAGAGTGTGTACATAGATGATCGATCATCACGCACTGTACATATTCCAAATACATGTTTAACATCAATACCATATTTTAGTGAATGTGATGGGTGATTGATATATATATTTTTCTTTTAGATTGAAATGAAGCAGTCAATAATTTAAACAAAAAAAATATAAATATATTTGAACATGTAAAAAAGGGAGTCGATCCATTGATTTCGTCGTATTTGGTTTAGATGGTTTGGTAAAATTGTAATGTGACAAGATTGCCCAACAAAAAATTGTAGTGTAAGATTTAGAGTTCTGAAAAGAAAAAAATATACGTTTAAATTATTATTTTTATCGACGAAACAAGATTATGTTACTTCGATAGAACAAAGTCACGATACAAGCAGGTTGGTGGGTAAACACTGTTTGGAAATAAAAACATATTACAAGGAACATGTTTAGCTAACAAATGTGTTATGAATTGCACTCAACAATGCTTTACCTTCTGCTTCTAACGGTGATGATGCGTGGCCGAGGACTGATGATCCCCAATAATTAACGGTGATGAGGCGTGGCTGAGGACTGATGATAATCACGGACTATCCATCCAGCAACCGCTTTTCCGTATTCCAATCATACGATATGATGCATCGAAGTTGCATTTGAAACTTCCTCGTTGTGGTTTTGACCATAGGGGATTAGAAACTGATTCCGTATGTAGAAACTGACATGTTTAAATTAATTATTTAGCAGTTTTGTCCAAAGAAATTTAGGTTCAGATTTTCACATTTACACCCACAAAAAAAAGCTTTAGGTTTAGGTAAATGTCTTAATTTTCATTACATGCACAATATATACCATAGGGTTCATTGCGTGACCTTATCTATAATGTCAAGCATCATTTAACAACTCAAAATATCACAATGACAAAGAAGATTAATTTTTAGAGCACACAAACATTAAAACAGCTTTAAAGTTCAAACACTAACACATCATCGAACGTTGAAACGCTAACTTCAAACACAAATAAGAACTGCTTTCATCAGAATATTAGCATGGTTCTTCAGCTCTCTCTTATTCCAAAACAAAGCACAAATGTTCACTCTTCTTCTTTAACCAGTTCTTCCTCTTTGCTCTTCCAACAAAACTGACATGAAACCAAATTAAAATTAATAATCAATTTAAAAACAAGACTAAATCTTAAACT